TAAAATTCATCTGGATCCAGAGGAGACCCAGAATAGCAAAAGCAATCCTGGGCAGCAAAGGAAAGGCAGGAAGCATCACAATCCCTGACTTGAAAATATACTACAAAGTTACTGTGATAAAATCATCATGCTATTGGCAAAAAACAGACTGGAGGATCAATGGAAGAGACTAGAAAATGCATTCACAATCACAACACACACACAGCATCCTTATCTTTGACGAAGGGGCCTAACATGTTCATTGGAAGGAAGATTGCCTCTTTCATAAATGCTGCTGGAAAAACTAGTCCTCCACATGCCAAGAACTAAAACTGGACCCATGTATATCAACATGCACTAAACTAAAGTCAAAATGGATCAAAAATCTAATATTAATACAGAAACATGAAATGTACTTGAAGAGAAATTAGGCAGGAATCTTGAAACAGGCAGAGGCAGAGAGTTCATGAACAAAAACCAAATTGCACAGGAAATACTTCAAAGAATCAACAACTCAGGTCTCATCCTACTGAGAAGGTTTTGCACATCAAAATAAATCACCAACAGACTAAAAAGAATACCCATGAATTAGGAAAAACTTTTAGCCAACTGTCCCTCATACAAAGGACTTCTAATGTGAACATATAAAGAATTTTTTAAAACCAGGCTCCTGAAATTCAAAGACCTGTTCCAAAACTGAGCATCTGAGATGAATACACACTTCTCCAATAAAGAAGTATAAATGCAATTAAATACATGAAAAAATGTGCAACATCATTAGTCATTCAAGAAATGTAGATTAAAACAACACTGAGATTCCATCTCACCCCAGGAAGAATGGCTATCATCAAGAAATCAAGTACTAACAAATGCTGGAGGGGTTGTGGGGGAAAAGGACCATTCTCCACTTTTAGTGGGAGTGTAGACTGGTGCAACCACTGTGGAAATCAGTCTGGAGATTTCTCAGTAAACTAGGATTAGAGATCCCATTCGACCCAGATATTCCCCTTCTGGGTATTTTTCCAGAAGAAATGAAAACATCATAACACAGCAATATATGTGCACTCATGTTTCTGGCAGCACAATTTGTCATAGCTAAATCTTGGAAGCAACCCAAATGCCCATCAACTGAGAAATGGATAAAAAAGATGTGGTATTTTTATACAATGGAATACTAGTCAGCTATAAAGAAAGATAAACTTGAAGCTTTTACACTGTCTTGGTTACTTTTCTCTCGTTGCTGAGACAAAATACCCAACGCCCAAAATGAAGGAAGGAAAGGTTTATTTAGCTTACATTTTGGAGGTTTCAGTCCATACTTGGCTGGCTCCGAGGCAGAAGACAGCAAAGCAACAAGAGCAAAGGGGGGAATGGCAGCCGAACAGCAAACAGCCAGAGCAAACCGGAGGAATGGTGGCAAGCAGCTTCTTTTTTCCTGTCTTACTTTGTAAACAGGCTAGTCCACCTAAGGGGTGTGTAGCTCTCACACAGTGTCTCATGGAAGCCTCTTGACCCTCAGAACTCTTGCATTCTCCATGCACCTTGCCCTTCTCTTCCACAGGCTCAGGATGTATACCAAGTAAGACCCTGGCTTCCTGCTGAGTCACTTAGCCAAACCTCTAGACTCCCCAACTTGACACAATGTATCAACCATAACATATACGTAAATGGGTGCAACTAGAAACCATACTTATAAGTGAAATAAATCAGACTCTCATGTGTAAACATCGTATTATCTCCCTAGTGTAAGAATCTGAAAGAGCAAAGAAAAGCTAAAAGGTATAACAGATATTGTGAATGGGAAAAGAACTGCTCAAAAGGAAATAACAACTGGGATGAGGGAAAAGAGAAAAGAAAGAAAGAAGGAAAGGAGATATAAAGATATCTATACACACACACAAGATCTCTAAGGTAATTGTATCACTAATTTCTGTTGGTTTGTTGAAAGGAACAGTTAATGTTTCATTGTTTTATCAATCTTACATGGTTATGTCTGGTTATATGAATAACCGCTGTGAAGATAAAAATATGGAATAAAGGAAGCATTGTTAATTCCCTCTCCACTTGTTTTGAAGCAATGTATCCTTATTATTGTTCATGTTGTTTTGTTTATGTCTTTGCTTTTGTTATTTTCTTTTTGTTCTCTTCTTTTAAAAATAAAAATAATCTTTAGTGATTATCCTCAGTATACAATAGCTATCTTCAAATGATTGTGTTATACATTTAAGCAATGCAATAACATTTAAACAAAATTTTAAAACCTTGTGACACTGTACTTTAAAGTACTATCTTTATCTCTTAGAGTATTCTTCATAAGTGTTTTCTCTAAGACTTAACAGGGCACCAGCAGATTTCAATTACTTCATTTGTGCCTATACTTCTACTGAGGACTGATTTCTATAGTGTTGCTCATTCGTCAAAGAGGAGATCCCCAGCCCACAGTCTATGATGTGGCTTTCTGCATGAAACTACCTTCCCAAGAATTTAAAGATCTCTAAGGTTCTTATCCAGATATCTATAAGAAACAGAAGGGACAGAGTTTTAAATTTTTCCCCTTTCTCCTCCGCAGTAGTTCTCTATCAGGGTTCCAAGGGAAACAGCTTTTGCTGCTCTTTCTGTAGAGATTTTAGAATTTTGTTCGTTGCTAGAAAATGGTCTGAGCAGGATTCCAGACCTGAACACTAGAGTCAGGCTTTCTCTAGTCTTAACACATGTCCAAATCTTTCTCATGTTGACCTGACAGATGTCCATGGAGAAGAGTCTATGACAGGTGTAAATTTCAATGTGACTCTGTGGCACCCAAGGATTTTATGTTTTTATTCTAGTCTACACTTGGCATTTGTTACTTGTTTAAACATTTTAGAGGAATTCGCACAGGAATGGTTGCATCAAGCACTTGTAGGAGGAAGCTTGCCAGTGTTCACATCTTGCCTCTCCTCCAATGAGTCATCTTCCTTGAAAGTTCAGGGTGAGCATTCACCAAACCACTGCTGTGGCAAAAGTGAGTCTGGGAAAGGAAAGATACCCAAGGAAGTCAGGAGGCAGTGAACAGCTTTCTTTTACACCAGTGGTCTTGGCTTCAATAACTTCCAACAAATGCCAGGTGGTGAGTGTTTGTGAGCCAGCCTTTTATATGAGGTATAAGCAGGGGTTACAAAGGCTGGAAAGGATAGCCTGGTAGTTCTTCTGAGTAGCTAGCAGGGTGAGATCATCTGTTACAGGGCTAGTTTAAAGGCCAGCAGTTACAAAATGAGATTAATTACCAAAAAACTTGGTATCCAGAATGTCTGGGCATGAACTCATGGTTACAGGGGTCAAGAAAGCATTTGCACAGCCATGAAACAGTTACAGAGCTAGGCAGCACCAGCTCCAAAGAGAGTAAAGCTTTGAAAAAGAATCATTTTTCCTTGTATAGTTTCTCCCCTTCACCACCACTGTAAAAGTGTCTATCTCCCATGATGCCTCTCATCATCCTCCTCTATCTAAGGATAATTGATTCATCTTTAGGTCAGGATACAGACACTGATTTTTGTGTCAAAACAACATTTATTTCCAAATGTGGGCCACAGTGAAAATATTTCCCATCTCTGGACACTGCCCACCCTCAACAAACAATCCTTCATCCACTACAAATATATGCAAGCTTTGTCTTCAAACAGTTGCTGTGGAATACATCTGTGTTAATTGTTGTAGGCTCCTGAAACTGGCTGGTCTTCTCTTCAGAGCTCTACGTGTTCTTTCTGGTGTGGTTTTATCATTGTCTTCTTAGCTAGAATCTCGGTATAGAAAGCCACTTCTTTGGCTTTCAGTCTCTGGGCAGGCTGCGTGGTGGCACCAATCTGCAGGTATCCTTCCCTCTGGTCATACTCTGGCCAGTGGGGCAGCCCCTCCCCATTGGGGTTCCTGGGAACAGAATCAAAGAAATATTCTCCAAAGAATACATGGGCCCCCAATATGTTTCTCAGACTTTCAACTTTCTACTGCCTTGTCTTTATGAAGAGACCCATGCACCTCCAGAGATAAGAAACAGCCCCACCTCCGAGAGCACCTTGTGCATTTACAGGGAGCTCTCATTATCACATTGCTATGGTCTACCTGTTTGATTTTTGGTCACTCCAGTTGTACAACACACCCTATGCCAGCAGATATGCCCACCCAGACACCACCACCAATTCTTTCCATTTTTGCCACCAGCCTCACCCAGTCCGAGCAAAGTTGGCCCAGAATTTCATCATCATCTTGCTGAGGTTGGTCTCCTCTTCTGAGGCACCCTCTGCACGGATGAGGTAAAAAACAAACAAAAAAACCCATTAGTAATCAAAGCATGGTTCATTGTGCCATCAGCAGTTGCAGTGCAAGGGATTGGTTAGAAATTCAGACTTGTGGCCTTCACTGGTCACCTATAGAGTCAAAACCCTGCATTTTGACAGGATTCTGACTTTTGGTGTGCACTTTAAGCTTGAGATTCATATACGTAGGACTCAGCCATGGACTTGAAGTCCAGAAATATGCTGGCTGGTTTTGTCTTCTATGTCTACTTATTGCCTTCATGATTATAATGCCACAAACCAGTTTTCTTTACCTTATCAAATTGCTGGGTATTGTATATATTTTAATTTTTCTACACACTTCTACATTTCAGAGTCTGAAAATCATCAAAATTGTAAAGGACCTGAAGAACCACCCAAGTGGAAGATACACAGAGGCACATGTCTGTCATGAACAGCTGTGAGGTGTGTCACTAGTCAAACTGAAGGATTTAATACATTTGTGAAAAAAGTCATTAAATACTATATTATTAAATATATAAAGGTTAAAATACATGTTTGGGATACATGAAACGAAGACTGAGAGATGGTCTCATAAGGTATTAGACTCAAGGTCAGCCCTATTTTTAACCATCTCCTACTCACATTATGGAAGATTCTCCAAGCAGAAAATCAAGCAATAGGATTTTTGCCCTCAAACAGGTTCCTGAGGAAGATCTAATTCCTCTCTCATTTATGGCAGAGATCAGGACTGTGAGGGTGACTATGGCTTGGGCATGTCATCACACGTCTTCTTTCATGCATCCTAGAGCAGGGGAAAGTCTCTATTCTGCCAACAGAGTTTAGTCCTCTGATATGGAATCAGGAATCTAAGAGCAGCAGAGGAGGAGAAACTTGCTCAAGGTCATCACACAAAGACAGTTAGGTCTCCTCCTTCCAAGTTCATAGCCCGAAAAGAACCATTACCTTTTAAAAATGGAACTCCAAACACTGAGAAAATCTCATCTCCATGGTCTCCCATCACCGTCTTGGGTCTCCCATATGGTGTGAAGCTTGGACAATACTGGAACTCATACATGTAGGTGGGGGCTCCAGCATCTGAAAAGTCATGGATCATGCACAATTTATGGTACTGTATACACAGTTAGACCGCTCAAGTTTCTGGTTGTGCAGGAAACCCATGGTAATCATCAAAGGACAGAAAGAGAGTTTCAAGAAAATTCCTAGATAGGCAAGCCTAGGCACACACAGATGGCTTAGGTAGAACTTGGGTTTGCATCAGATGTTTATTGAATGAATGAAGGCAGTGCATCCAATAAACATACTAGACGTGTTTCATTGATAGCCCATAGTGCTCATTCATGTAAAAACATCTACCATCTGGTAGGTGTCTCTTCATCCTACTTTTGAACACTTCCAGGTTTCTTCTCATCCATTCTGAAGGAAGTGAAGTAAATGCAATGGCTTTTCCAAAAATAAGAATCCATTAATACAAATACATTTGCATGGGGGCAAACTGTTGTTGTAGGAAACTCTAAAACTCAAGGTGTCATATTTCAGGCACCTAACACATTCTATTTTTTTCTTGGGTCAGTGGATGTTAAGACAGCAAAATGACAATGTGATGATCAAAAGGAAAAAGCATAAGAGGAGGATGAGGTTGGTTCTCTGTTCTCTTGTCTTTCCCCCTGTTTCCATAGCACAAATGCAGATATCTCCAAGCACCCAGATGTTAGCTTTTCTGTTGGCTGGATGATTAGAACCAACAATTCTTACTACTTTATGACTAACTCGTGGAAAACAAGTCTGTAGAGTTCAACAGGTAGCATCAACCATACTACCTACAAAAATGTCAGACTAAGAGAAGAAATATGAAGTCACAATCAGGCTGGTTGAGTTTGCCATTTTCCCCATGAATACAGTAGGAAAATATTAAAATGAAGAAAAAACTATATAGCAAAAACAATGCATCTGTGACCCAGTCATTTATGAACAGAACATACAATCCATTTGTAAAGGAAAGAATTGTTTTGAAGGAGAGAAATTATTTTAGGCAGTGTGCCACCAACAATCTTTTTAAAAAATCCACTTGTGTAATATCAGATGGATTTATAAATTTCCTATAACCACCAGTCTTCAAAGCAAAGGAAGCCATAGGTTTAGGAAATAGCAATTATGAACAATAAGAGAAGCAGAGACGATGGGATACTGTGAAAATATCAGATATTGGCATAATATGGGATGCAAAGAACAAAGGTTAAAGGCCCAGAAGATATATTTTAAGACTGTGGCTGAAAACTTCCCTAAATAGGGATTGTTACCAAAATGTAGATATAGAAAGCTCAGAGGGCTCTAGTCCATTTCATTAAAAAGAGAATATCAAAGCTACAGAATAATGAAATTTTCAAAAATCAAAGAAAAGAAAAAATTATGAGAGTAGCAAAAAATAAGAATCATATCACATACAAAGGCATGCCAATATAATGACTGGCAGATTTCATAGAAATAGAAATTCTGAAGACAAAAGACAGAATGATAATGTACTGAATGTGCTTACAGCACAAATATCTGCCAACCAAGAATACTGTATGGGAAAGCTGTCTTCAGAAATAGGAAATGACAAGCTTTCCAAACACGCTTATGAAATCGTACCCTCTAGACCTCCCTTACAGGAATTACTAAACAGAATTCTCTAAGCTATAATAAAAAGATACTAATTAGTAATATGGAACGTATGAAAGGACAAAAATGAATTTATAAGTCAATCAGAATAACAGTCTGAATATTGGAAGACTAGAATGACAATATGTACAAGAATTTTCCCTCAGTGTAAGAGTTAAAAGAAAAAAACTTACAAAAATAGATCAAGTCAATCATCAATTAGAGCCAATACAAATATCTTCATAAAATGATATAAATTTTGATATCAAAAAATAAATTGGGGAAACAGAAAGTTATTATACTTAATCAAAGTTAAATTTTGCCCACATAAAATAGATTATTCTAAGTGTAAAGGGTTATATAGATGCCTTATCATACCCAAGTAAAAATCTTTAGTGAAATCACACAAGCAACACACACAAATTAATTGACAGGATTAGAAGCACACCACTACAGAAAACCATCAGATTACAAGAGAGGGCAGTAAGAGAGGGAGAAAGAAAAAAATGTATTTACAAAACAACAAGCAAAGAACTCATAAGATCATAGTTTCTATAAATTCTTGTCTCTCAATAATTACCTTGGCTATACCATTTAAATTCTCTAATAAAATTACACAAATTGACTAAATGCATTGTTCAAAAACCCTGAATATTTGAATCCCCTTCAGTACATAAGAGACACACTCCACCCTTTAAAACATGTATAAATTCAAAGTGAAGGAGTAAATACATTATTATACCCAAATGGAAACCAGAGGACCATGGAGATAGCTAGTTATAACAATGGACTGTAATAGAAACTGTAGAAAGAAAAATAAAGACATTTTGATAAGGAGGTCAAGTCAACAAGGAGCTATAACAATTTTAAACATATTCACACACAACATCAGAGCACCTAAATACATAAAGTAAATGTTAATGGATCTGAGCAAGATATATATTAACATACAAAAAAAGCAGGGACTTCAAAATACCATTTTTAACACCGGAGAGATCATGCAGATAGAATATTCAAAAGGAAACACTGGACTTAAACAGCATCTTTGATCATAGGGACCTAACAGAAAAATGTAGAATATTCAACTGAATACAGACATAACACATTCTTCTGAAACACAGACAAAATATTGTCCAAAATAGACTACATAATCGGGTTCAAACCAATCTCCATCTAATTTAAGAAATCTGAAATTTCACCCAGCATCTTTTGGGACTACAATGGAACAATACTAGCAATTAAAACAGGAATTTTGTGAAATTTCAACAATTCATGAAAGTAAAGCATCATCTTCCTGACTGATCAATGAGTGAACAAAACGTTGATGTGGGAATTTAAAAATATTTTGACGTGGATAAAAGTGGGAGCACAGAATACCAAAACTCATGAGCTACAGCAAAGTAGTTCTAAAACAAAGGTACATATCAATAACACCTACATCTACAAAGAAGAAAGATGTCATATCAACAATTTCAAGTTATGCTGCATTGAACAAGTAAAAGTACAAACCAAAATCAAAGTTACAAGTAGAAATCAAACAATAAAGATTAGAGAGCAAAGGAATAAGAGCCTATAAAAGTGAACAAAATATTAACAGTTGGATACTTCAAAATGTAAACAAAACTGACAACTGTTTAACTACACTAAATAAACAAAAGAAAAACAACACTCAGGTAATAGAAAAGTGAAAATACACATGACAACCAACACCTCAAAACTACAAAAGACCCTGAAATTATTAATAATAACACATGCACATAAATTTTAAAACTTAGAAAAAATTACAAAATTCCCAGTCCAATAACACTGACTTAAGGAAAAATAGTCTGGATTGAATAGTAACAAGTAATAAAATTATTCAGTGATGAAATATATTCAAAAAAAATCCCAGGACCTGATTTTGGATGAATTAGGCCAATTTAAAGAAATAATGCCAGTCTACTCAGTTTCTTCCCAAAAGAAATTAAGAGGGATATTGAAAAGTATGTTAAGGTATTGTTACACTTATACTAACATAAGATATTGCCAAAAGAAAAGGACAGTCCAATTTTCTTCTTGAATGTAGATGTAAAAATCTTTTTAAAATGCTAGTAAATTGAATTTAAAAATGCATTAAGAGAATAATCTACCACAATCAAGTAGGATTTAACCCTGTTTTAAAAAAATCGTAATGCATCATGTTATGTAAAGAAAGACAAAAACATGGTCATCTCATTAGGTATACAAAAAAGAATAGAAAAAATCCAACACTTTTCATGATTGAAAAAAATATTTACCAAATTAAGGACAATGAATGCATCTTAAGACAAGAAAGACTGGGTCTGAAAAGCTCTCTGATGACAGTATTCTACAATGTGAAAAAAATGAAAGCCTTTCTTGTAAAATCCAGAACAAGACAAAGGTGCTGTTTCTCACCAACTCTGCATTGGCAAAGTCCTTGCCAAAGCAATTAGGCAAGAAAAAAAAATTTAAGGTTATCAAATAGGATAGCTGAGGTTGTCAATCTTTGCTTATGCCATAATATTATTATAGCTACAAAGCCCTGTAAACTTCACTAAAATTGGTTAAAACAAATAAATGTTACAATAAAGTAGGGGTATTCAAAATGAGCATGCAAAAATCAGTAGCATTTTATATACTAACAAGAAATAATCTGAAAGAGAAATCAAGTAAACAATCCCATTTACACTAGCTACACAATGAAAATATCTAGGAATAAATTTAATCCAGATGGTGTAATATCTGTACACTGAAAGACATAAAAGTTTAATTAAATAAACTAAAGAACACAGATAGGTGGGGAAACATCCTATCTACATGGACTGGAAGAATTAATGTTATGAAAATGTCCATAGTATCCAGAATAATCTGCTATTTAGATGAAACCCTTCTCAGAATTCCAATGTCATCCTTCAAGAAAATATAAAATAATCCCCCAAATCATATGAAATTAAAAAATATCTCAAGTGATCAAGGCACTCTTGAACATAAGGGACAAACTTGGAGGTAGCATACTGTCTTAATTCCAATAAATATTACACAGTTGTCCTAATTAAAATTGCGTGGAATTGACTATAGATACACACACACACACACACACACACACACACACACACACACACACACTGCCCAGAGGATAAGGTACAGATCCCAGAAATCAGTCCAGGCATATGCAGTCAACTGATTATTGAAACATGTGCTGAGAATATCTGATGAGAAAATCAAGCTCTTCCATAAAATGGTTCAAGAAAAAGTTGAATTCCTACATGCATAAAGATGAAACCGCACTGTTATCTAATACCATACCAAATCAAATAAAAAAGAGTTAAAGATTAAAACATACCCTCAAAACCTCAAAAAAAATTACACAATATATAGAGGAAAACTACATTGCAATGGTCTGGGTAAATAATTTCTTGGATTTAACTCTAAAAGTATAAGAAACACAACTGGAAGATAGATACATGGGATTATCTCAAACTAAAAAATTGCTTCACAGAAAGAAAAACAATTAGCAGTATACAGAGAACAACTAAAGATGGTGAAAAATTTTGTGCAATCCATATATATATATATATATATATATATATATATATATATATATATATATAAAGCAAAGTGTATAAGAAATTCAAAAATCTAAATTGCAAGAAAACAAACAAAAAACTTCAATTAAAAGAAGCAAAGGAACTGAACTGGCATTTCTTAAAAGAATATGTACAATTGAAAAACAAATGTATTTTTAAAAGGCTCAATATCATTAGTAATTGTGACAATGCAACAAAAATCACAATGAGATATAATCTCACCCTGGTCAGAATGGCTTTTATCAAAAATTTTAAAAAAATAAGATATGATGGCAAGATTGTGGAAAAGGGGAATATTTTTACACCATGTTGTAAATGTAAAATAATCCAGAGGCTCTTCAGAAAACTAATAATAGAATTACCACATGATCCAGTAATCTTACTGCTGGGGATCTACACGAGGTATTTGAAAGGCATTTGTTGAAGCAACGCCTGTACCCCATGTTCGCTGCAGTACTATTCACACAAGTTAGGTTATGAAATCACTCTGTGTCTGGTAATAAAAGAGTGACAACACCAATGAAATATTATATACAAATAGCCTTACAAAAGGAAGTGTTGTCCTTTGTGTCAACACGAATGAAACAGAAGAAGATTGTAAGTAAAATAAGTCAGGTAGAGAAAGACAAATACCACATGTTATCACTTATCTGCAAATCTAAAACATAACTCACAAAACCAGAGGGAAAAGCAGTGCTGATTTAGGTTGCTGTGAGGGATAGAAGGAGATGACAACGAAAGGACACTAAATCTCTGATAACTTGAAATTTGTTTCTTCTTTACTGCCATTGTACAGTGTGGTGAATACATTTAATAGCAGACTATTGTACAATTATATTTCTGGGAAAAGAAAGGTTTCGGCTTTCCACTATAAAAAGTATTCAGTAATTCAGGAGATTAGTGTGTGCATCAGCTTAAGGTAATCATCCTGATTGGTATTTTAAATCATATTATAATCATAATTACTGTAGTTTATATGTATAAATTATATTATCATAAATTTGTACCTTATACATTTATAAAAAATAATTTGCACATTTACAGTTTAAAAAATTGTATGTATTCTCTCTTAGTTCTTCTCTCTCTCAAAATGTATTATACTGTATTCACCCAACTGCTAGAAATGGTTTACAAAAAATTGAAGTTGCACAAAATGAAGCAGTGAAAGGAGAATATTAGGATTAGCTTTCATAATACTCATATATAGTAGAGACTTTTATAGCCATACCAGAATTGTAATTATAATACTCATATATAGTAGAGACTTTTATAGCCATACCTTACCTTCTGTAAGGCCAGAAGTTTCGAATAAGGAAGAATTTACTGACTTGAGAGTTTGTGAAAGAGTCCTGGGAGCAAAAAAGTACCCTTGGCTTCCTAAATGGCTCCCAGAAGGAGTCAACATCTGCCTAGGGAAGCTCGCTTATCCATAAACACGCTCTCCATCCACAAACACGCTCTCCATCCACACAACCTTAGGGAAATGTTAGAAGGTCCTGCAATACTCCCCATCTGGACCTCAATTTGGCCACACTGGCACACACCAGCACAGATACCAAAATCACCACATCTCCCCCAACTCTGCACTATCTACTGCCTCTGCTTTTGGCAGTCTTCCTCCAGAACAACCTCCTTGATCCAGTAATTAACATCTATTCTTCTTCCCTATCTAATGGAAAGTAACTTGAATCCAGCTCTACCTTTGAAAACATTACAAGACCCATAGGGCTACATTTGACTTCAAGTCCAACTTAACACCATTACTTCAGGGAAAAAACCCTGTAGCAGATTCTGCTGGTTTCTCATTCATAACCATGATTCTGGCAGGTCAGCTTTGCTGCCACTGACAGCATCTGCAACTCCTGCAACTCCTTATGGCCACTTAAACCACTTGGCCCACGTTTGCTGGAGATCAAATATCATAAAATTCATAACTACTTGGAATAGTCTTCAATCAATGACATGTGGGTATTGGTGGATGAATAACAGCTACATCCTGCTAAGGCAGCACAACCCTGATATGTGTCTTCCGCTTATTTCTCAGACCTCTCAAGCTCTGGTTTTGCACAATAGGCAAATGCTTGGTTGGGCATCATTTTGGGCTTTTGTATTTTCCCTGTGTCATTTCCTCATTTCTCCTTACTGGTATTTTCTGGGATCACTTTACAAACTAACAATTTGTCTTGTCACCATTTTATCAGTATGCTCCTGACAGAAACAAAATAAAACAAAACCACCTCCCCAGGCCATAAGAAATCAGTCTCTAGTCTTAACCCCCAACACTTCATCATCTGTCTAAATGGAGTAGAGAGGTCCAAGACCAAAGCTGGTGTGTGAGATTCTCTCTCTCACACAATTTCTAGGACTCACCTCTGTGGCCACGGGCCACAATCACAGATGGGATACCAAACATCAAGTCTGCCAATAAGTCCAGAAACAACTCTCTCTTTTTGACAAGGTCATCTGTTCCTCCTAAATACTTCTCAGTGGCCACTGGTGTCAGCTCCTCAGGAACATTCTGAAATGAATCAACAAAGCAGCAACCCCCACTTGGTGAGTAATTGGGATTCCAGCAAGCCAACAAGACCTCATCATCCATATAAGTCTTGAACCTCGTGCAAATCCTCCCTGGATAGTAAAGTGGAAAAGGCAAAAAAAATGGGCCAAACCCCAGATTCTAGGCCATTGAACTGGTCTGTGACTTTGGGCCAGCTCCCAACACTCCTTTATTTTTCTACTAATTCCCATAATTCCCTATATGCTTACAACAAAGGGATAGAACTTCCACAAGAGTGATGTGGCCATCTTCTGGTCCAGCTTGTCTTCAGGGACTGGATTACCCAACAGCTGTTAAAAGAATGGTTAAGCATTTTTGAGTACTCATGAAATATCAGGAAATCAACAAAACCAATGTAGAATGAAGCTTCTGTGTTGTGACCTGATAGTCCTGAATCGTCTATGTGGAAATATCAGTGAAACAAATAAACTTATATCCAGAACACACAGAGCCAGTTGATTCTAGTCACCATTATGACTTTGGTGTAATGATTTGAGATTCTTCTGAACTGAGAACTGCAGAATTCTCATCTGTTCATATCTCTGCACTAGGAGACATAACCCAAGTACTACCTGGCTTCCCCCAGCTTAGGGTCATGTCCTAACATGACCCTTGTCTCCTAAAGTCCCTGCTTGAGAAACCTCAATAGTGCCATGTGCAGAGATTTCAAGCCCTCCCTCAGAGCAGTTACCTTAAAAAGTTTACAATTCTCCCTACTTCTTTTCCCATGGAAACATAAATCTCACTCAAAACAATTTCCTCAAAGATCAAAGAACAATAGTTTTTGGAAATTTAGATCAAAGAACAATATTTTTTGGAAATTTAGATCAAAGAACAATATTTTTTGGAAATTTAGATCAAAGAACAATATTTTTTGGAAATTTTTTTCCTTTTTTATTTTAAAGAGAATAAAAATAAAAAATAATAAAAATGGTACAGAATTTCAAAACAAGATGATAGTACATCAACAGTGGTTGTTATATTGCTATTGCATACTGTTATCTATGAAGTAGTTCAGATTACCAGTTACAAACATGCAAAATTGGTCAAAAAATTAAGCATTAACTGTTCCTTTCAATAATCCAACAGAAATTAGTAGTACACTTATCTTAGCTATAGTGTGTGTGTATATATATATATATACATATGTATGTGTGTATATATATACGTGTGTGTATATATATAGATACATTGATATATTGAAACATTGATATATTGAAATATTGATATATTGAAACATTGATATATTGAAACATTGATATATTGAAACATTGATATATTGATATATTGAAACATCTTGGGAGATAGCTCTTGATCTCTCTGACAGTTCCAATGCAAGATGCAGTTCTGACTTCCATGGGGGCCTTACTTCAACTTCTGCTTCCTGGCATGAAAATAATTCTGTTTCTCTTGCAGATGGGAATGGAGGAATAAATCCAGTGGCCTGGCTACGTGGGTGCTCCCCTCATACTCACAGGCCTTCCCGGGCTCACCCAGCCTGGAACATCTTCTGAATTTGATGTTAGGGAGTTGGGTTCAGGACATGCTTGGTCTTTTCTCTATTGCAATCAAATTACGGAATAAAACTTGTCCTAGTGTTTTAACTTGTACATAGTTTTGTTTATCATTGACAGAGGAACAGCCTTTCTTCCATTTTAGTAGACAAATGTATCTTAAACAGAGTGACATTCTCTGAATCTTTCCAATGGGAGACCTGAGAACTCAGGTGGAGCTCTATGGAAGCTATAGTTCAGGCCCAAGCTGGAAGCTGTTACACCCCAGAAAAAATCTCTTTGACTGCCCAGCTTTCTCACCTCTCTGGAATTCCTCCTTTTGTCCAACTGCACAATTATTATCTCTTCAGAATGCTGTAGCCTGGACATTTCAGGATTAGTTAATGAAAACAATCAAAAATTCTTTAGGCACAGTTTCTGAAGGCTGCAGTACCAAGTGATGATTGGATGTGTTGGGGAGTGATCTGTCTAAGAGGCCCGCACATACTCACCATTGGCATGATCCAGCCAAACTCTTGCTTGTTGATTCCTACCATGTAGGGGACGGTGTTGAAATTCTTTTCAGCCAAAATCTCTTCTGGTGCCTTGGGCAGCAGCACACCATCGATAACAGTGGAGACAGAGGGAATGTTCTGGAGAGAACACCATAATGCTTGTCATTACTCTCCCTCAGCTAGCATGCATATCCCTCTCTCTGCCTGGATGAAGGTGTGGCCATCACCACAATCTCCCTTGGCAGTGGCCAGTGGCCAGAGAAATCCAGGGCTCTGCCTGTGAGACACCAAGGGCAGAAATTTGGGAAGTTAGTGGTGGTGAGGTGATGCTGGTGGGAAAGGAGAAGGTGAGTCATCACCCAAATAAAACTATCTATGATTATAATATACATAAAATCGATTCCTATGCTTCATAATAGTTATGTATATAAAATCACAATGAGTGATGACCTAGTAAATATTGGGTAGTTTTCCAAAGGAGATTCCAGAGTTAGGTTCCTGGGGGCCTCTGTCACATTATCATTACTTTTGTTTTATAGGCAGGGACTCATTTAAAGACTTATTGTACAACATAACTTCTTACAGAGAATTAGTTATGTACAAAGCTTATTTATGATAATACACTACCTGGGAAGGGCTAAAAATTTTCATGACTCTGAGTAATGCCATTTTAAATTTTTGGCTTGTGATCATGACAATGCTATCTACTGTGCTTTTTGCAAATTCACCATCTCATGAATACACAAATTTAGCTGCTTTGCCATCCTGTTCACAGCTGTATCACACACTATAGATATGACATTACTACTTGCCAGAGGGGTTTCACTTAAAGGTAGGAAAATCCCTTCTAATTCTGTACTTTCAGTACTCTTGAGTCAACCCCAAAAGGCTCAGTGAAGTATATCGATCTTCCGTCTTTTCTCCATGAAGCAATCAGTCTTCTATGGATAGGAACAGTAGACAGCACTTCGACACTATATTTGGGAGTGGTTTTAAACCGAGAAATCACTAATAAAAGCATTATCACCTAAAATGGGTACACTTCAGAAATGACAAAAAAGACATTTCTTGATTTGAGAGATGGAACAATAAGACAGACTTTCTCCTTTGCCTTCACATGTGTACATGGGCATGATGCTACTCAAGTTCTTCAGCACTCTGCACAAATTTTTAAGTGATCACGTGAATCTTGTAAGTTTTGGTTTTCAGTAATGAATACATTTCAGCAAGTAAATAAATTCAAAATTGCAGATTCCCAGATTGTTAAGGATCAGTTGTACATAATGGTTTATCTATAAAGCGGAAGCTTTTAAGCCTATCACTCGAATGCCTTGATATGACTTAGTCCCCTATTTGGGGGCAAGAAAACATCATAACAAGAGCAAAATCTTACTGCAATAGTCCGACAATACAGAAAAAGCCCGGGTGCAAACTGTGACACTGGAGAAAGCCTGAGTACTTCAGAAAGAGCTACTATGGGAACCAGAGAGAGGAGAAGCTCATCTGAATGAAGATGTATAACAGGGCCCTGGGAGCAGGTGACAGCCGTGCACAGCAGGATATGAGGAAGGCTATGGCCAAGTGAAAAAAAAAGACAGGAATTTCTCAAAAATGAAAGTGTTTGAGCAAAGGGACAAAGGAGTCACTGTGTAGAGCTACACTCAGGAATGTCAAGGAGCACTGCACTTGGAAGAATGCCTCAGGGAAGGGACAAGCACTATTGTAGGTGGTGGAGCATGTCTTTTGAATAATATCTGGCACATCCTTCCAGGTATGTTTTGAAGTCTAACTGGAAATATGAAAGCCAATTTGTCTTTTAGGCAAGATCAGGCTTTTAAGATGAGATATGATATTTGTGTCTTAAGTTTACAGGGCAAGTATTGTGACATCATTCACCATAGAACTGTGGAGAGAAAGAGGAAGCAGTAAATAGTAAAAGTGCAGAAGACAAGCATGAAAGTCTCAGTGGGAAAGCATCCATTGGTGATCACTGCAATCAACAACCATGAAAACAAGATTAACAGCCACTGGTGGCTGCCTGTGAGGCTATCTTCATGATCTTGCTTGGATCAGAAAAAATGGGGGCATATTCTTTACCTCATACTCCATGCTCTGTTCATCAGCAACCTGTCAGTTCTTTAAAATACATCTACATTTGACCCACATGTCTCCTCCTCACTGCTCTAGCACTTGTATAGTCAGCCAGGATCCCTTGATTGGGCTGCTGCAATGAATTGCCCCTCACACCCAGCCCCTTTTCTCTCTGTACCTGTGCGGACTCTTCCTGCACTTCAGTGCAAACTGGAGGCAGATACTATTTTAAAATCTAAGATTCATCATTGCTCTGCTCAGAGCACTCTGAGCACCATCATCTCAGGCTGAATCACAAACCAAGTCATTTCAGTCCACCTGCCATGACTTCCTAAGCCTGCAGTCTCGCCTCCTCTCACTGCCATGACAAACACTCAGGCCTCCTCCATCAAGGCATCGCAGCTGCTGTTAGTTCTGCCTACAACACTCTATCTCCAGGTTTCCTGAGAGCTGGCTCCTTCCCTACTCCACTGCTGGACTCCCATATCACCAACTTGATGTAAAGGTCCCCACAAAGTCTCATGCTTAGAGGAGGGGCCTGGCCAAGTTGGAAAAGTTCGTCACTGGTGACTTGAAAGGGTGTATTCACATGCAATCTCCACTTTTCAATTTCTGCTTCCTGGCTACAGTGTGGAAAAGAGCTCTCCTCCCCAGGCTCTGCCACCATGGCACTTCTATCTTGGAGCTGGTCTCTCACAGGCTGAAACCACTGAAACCACAAGTTCTTGAATTTCTTGGCTAACCTACTTGATATGATGAACCCAGACCCAGGCCCCAAAGCCACATTAGAGTCGCTGTATGAACACAGTGGCAAAACACAGATCTAGACTTTGCCCTGAAGATTCAGAAGTTTCTTGCAACGTTGAGGTCCAGATAGAGAACTGAAAAGCTCAGGTAACTACTGAGACCACAATGGAAATTTCCTCACAAATGGAATATTTTACATAGGCCCCAGGTGCTACTCTCTTCCTTTAACCTATGGGTGCCAGGTATTTTGTCCCAGTGACAGGAACATTGATGTATACGCCTACTTTGTCTATCACTGACACTGTTATTTACATTCACATCATTACCCAATTCTGTCCCCATTGCACACTTTCTCTTTCCCCTTTACAGCAGAGAGGGTGGACGAATGGGGATTTCTGTGGGTTTTGTGAATGTGGGGAGGAGAGTTGTAGTCATAGGCTCCTTCCTTGCATAAATAATTAGCCCTATGTCCTCCCAGGAGATTGGCCTCAGTGAAGGATCCTGCGCCCCTTATTCAGTTTGCTTCATCTCCTGATGATAGAACATTCCACTCAAGCCTCTTTCACAGGAGATTTTCAAAGCTGGAAACGTGAATGAAAAAAAGATAGATAAGCCCAGATTTTCTGATGGGAGCACAGTACTGGGACTGAGGATAGTACACTTCAGTCCTGTCTCTGCCCTTACTGTCTGTGTTACCCTGGCAAGTCATGGTCCTCTCTGGGCTTCCCCAATATGTCCATAAGAAGGAACTATAATTCCACAAAAGAGATTTTTTCATTGTGAATTGGAGCTTAAAGTTATAAAAAGTCAAATAATTGAGAACACGAAAATCCTTACCTCTCTGGGGTCTCCAAATAAGTCCAAACTAAGAAGTTTCTATGAAGACAAAAGGAAAACACGGTAAGAGAAGACTTCCTGAGGTTAAAGCTCATCCTTTCATCTGTGCCCTAAAGTATCATGTTTTTACTCTTGATTCATCTTTCACTGGGCCCAGAGAAAAAGGACCCTACACAGGCTTTGATGGATGCAAGCATAGGGTAGCAAGTAGGACAGGGAAGGGCAGGCACCAGCAAGAGGAATTAGGTCAGAATCAGGATCGCTGGGAGAGAACAACTTCTCTTGGTCCCTCCACCCATAGTTTCACTTAAGTGTTCACCATAGCAACATCATCTCAATTTGCTTCTTGCACAAAGTGGAAGTGAGTTGACTATAGTGCTGGGGTTGTGGCAACTTCAGTGGTGATGCGATAAGAGATGGAATGGAGTGGCCAGAGGTGGCATTCACATCATACTTCATGTGTTTCTCTCTTTTTCTGCCACACTGTGATTTCAGGTGTCCACATATGACCTTGGGTCTTCATGTCCCCAAAATTAAGAGATTAATGCAAGGACAGGTATATGCCAAGGGTCAGTCTAATTGACTGTACACCAAAATTAATGCTGTAGTCTTATGAGAGATGATTCCTAAACAGATAGAAATCCAAAATGATGCTTTCTTCTCACCTCACAAGGGAGCAAATGTGTTTCAGTGCGAAACCAACAAAGAGGAGTAGGAGCTGAGTGATTCACACAGGGACATTTTTAATAATATCTTAGATACAGCTAAATGGAACTCAGCCATCTGTTCCTGAAGTTTTCAGTTGCCTGAAAATGCTGCTCCATCAAAATCCTTTATTCTTAAAGTCACTTTGAAAGGCACTTCCTCGGTTTGCCTTAGGAAACCCTGACTCACACAAAATCACTGATTCTCATTTCAACTCATGCTTTTCTTTGCTGTGTGTTCATCGGGATTGCAAAGTTTCACAGAGACTGAAATTGTCTACATTAGTTAAGAGGTCTGACCTAGATATGTGGACAGCAACAGCTGAAGATGCCTCCATTATGAGTGGTAGTCAAGCCAGGTGTGTGTGTGTGTGTGTGTGTGTGTGTGTGTGTGTGTGTGTGTGTACTGAGGGCAGTGGCAATCATGGAAGCACTTCCTCAACAACTCAGATGTCCTGGGATCACAGGTTTTCTGGATTTTCTCAAAGTTACCAAGTATACCTGCATAAGCTGGGTCCTCTTTGCCACTTGGAGAATTATTGAAATATATTTCTCTTTTCAGATGTTATAAAGTAGTAGTTGCTTAAGTTCTTGAATTTCTTGGCTCACCTACTTGATATGATGAACCCAGACCCAGGCCCCAAAGCCACATTAGAGTCGCTGTATGAACACAGTGGCAAAACACAGATCTAGACTTTGCCCTGAAGATTCAGAAGTTTCTTGCAACGTTGAGGTCCAGATAGAGAACTGAGAAGCTCAGGTAACTACTGAGACCACAATGGAAATTTCCTCACAAATGGAATATTTTACATGGGCCCCAGGTGCTACTCTCTCTAGATGTTCATCCTGCTGAGCTCCCTAGTGATGACAGATGGCCACGATCTTCCATCACTGTGCCAACGTCACCTTCCCTGGGAAGCATCACTGCTGGCTATTTCCAATGTGTCCCCTCTCTGCACTCCCACTACACTTACCCTCTCACTATATGGTTTTGTTTCTCCTTGTGCAGTTCTTTGTGAGGAGAGATACGGTCAATTCATAAATAGCTATTTCATAATAGAAAAGGAAAAAATGAAATTCTCAGTTTGTATCAGTAGACGCTACAGGTCACTTCCCCTGACAGCACCCTGCCGTACACTTAGCATGGAGAGATGGATAGACGGGTTGTTCAATGAAATAAATTGGATGTATATATGGATAAACCAATGACAACTAACAGATAGGTGACAGATATGTCATTTCTTTTGGAGTACTAGGTGAAAGAATGCAGAAATATGTTCCATGGTGTTATGGCTTGTGTCTAGATGTCTCTCCAAAACCTAATGCAGTCATAGGTGCGATTTTTTCAAGGTGACTGAATCAATTGTGTGTGATTGATTCATGGTGCAATGCTAAGATTAAGGGTACTAGCATTAAGGGTGGGTGATTATGAAATCATTCCACTAATTGCTTTTGCACCACCCTAATCCTGGTAGCCAGAATATAATATGAGGGACAGAAAGAGGCTTGTATTAGCTCTTCAGTGCTTTTCAACCTTCTGCCCCCCATGAACTGTCTTTCATCCCTCCCTGCCTTGGAGTCAGCCAATTATTAACTGAAAGCTCTCCAAACGGTGCTAAAGAAAATTTTCCCCCTTTAACTTTGCGTGTCAGGTATTTTGTTTCAGCATTAAAGGAAAACTAACAGATGGCTGGTAACTTATTAAGATGAACAGGGTGCCAAAAAAAAAAGGGAAAATTTATGCATGGGTAACTACTTGATTGATGAAACTATAAATGAATTGATTGGATAGAAAAATAGATAGATGGAAAGATCGATCAATGATAGATAAATAGTAAGTAGATTCAAGTTATCCTAAGGTAGGAAGTTGTCAGAAAATGTAGAAATTTGGGTCATTGATGTGTATAAATAAATATAATGTATTTACATAGCTTGTAAATAAATCAAGGTAAACTGTGATACTTCTCTGAAATACTTGGTATTTAATGTCCCCATCCCAAAAACTCAGGATGGTAGTTCCTTGGAGAAATATAGAATATTCAATTTCTTAAATTCATCTAAAAATATGAATGTCAAAATATTATAATAGAGCTAACCATGTTTATGTAGTTTTTGTCACATTATTATTGGATATTTTAGACATCTGTGCTACTTCATAATAAAAAAAGGAAAAATTAAACTTCCAGTTTGGATCAGTAACATAACTGTGGTGCTGAAAGTGAGACACTATCCCAGATGGCTGAACTGGGGCAAAAATACAGCTGAAGAGATGAGGTCTAGGACCAAACACACAGGGACCACTAGAACAGAGGCACCTACCAAGTTCTGTGTGGCCTCCAAGAGTTCATCCTCTGTCTTCTGGCGCAGGCAGTGGACCATGACAGCTGACGAAGTGGTTTTGCATCCAGCAGCAACAGCAATTTTCTGCAGTGATGACAAGCAACAGCAGGGTTCCAGAGCAGTGTCCCTTCCTTCCATCAATGTACACAAAGGGGTGTTATCACAAACCCAGTGTCTAAATGCAGTAGGACATAGCTGAACATAATCTAAACCAGCTGGGGTGGAGTTTGTTTTTGTCCCCATCGCAGGTGGCATAGCTCCTTTTATTAACTGGACATGATATGGTAACACAATATATATGTCTCTGTTAGTTCATCTATGAAATAGCCACAATGGTTATCCCCAGGGCCCCAAATAAATAATGAGTAAGCACAATATCCTCAAACTTGAATGTCTCAAGAGAGGTTCTTTGGCATGGAGGTCAAACCTTGTATCTAAGATTTCACTGTCTTGTTTCAAATCTCAACTCCTCTACTTCCTTGCTATTTGATCTCCAGAAAGACCCTTAAACTCTTTGGACCCTTATTTCCCCTTCATAGGTGAGGGCAATCATTGCACTTCTCTTATACAAAGAGTTAATACCAGTGAAGTGCCGAAGTGTGTACTGTCTCCCACAGAGCAATGCTGATACAGAATTGCCGGAGGTGTGGGGAAGATGTCAACTGCAAGATAGTCCATAAAGTATGAAATAGGATTGGAATATGAGCCTTGAAGTATCTCTTCCTGCTCAGCTGTTCTCACTTCAGTGATCCTTTGAGCATCTCAATGATCCTTTGAGAATCTCACAGCAAGAAACACCTCTGTGGATTCCAGGAGAGCAGAGAATGTGCAATATCAGTCCAGGTTGAAGACAATGTACATTATATGTCCAGGGTGAGCCCTACCTTAGCCAGAGGCTTGACATCCTTGCTTAGCAGAGCAGGAGTGAGTGCCACACCGCTCTGGGAAATGGCCCGATGGAAGAGGTTCTTGGTCAGGGGAGAAAGCACCTGGGAGAGGAGTGGAAAGGAGAAGTTAATTCTCAAAGAGTGGTGGTCAGTGACTCACTTATTCTCTGAGGCTCCCTCTACCCATTCCTTTTCCCTGGTCATTCACCTTAAGACACTGCCACTGAGTGGACATGGCAGCTCATCAGATTTCCCTCTTGTTTCCCAGCCTCCCTTGGGTGCTACTTTTCCAAGAGGACTTTAAAGTGATGTAGTCAGAACCCAGAGTAAGGAATAGTATTGGAAGTGTGTGGCATGTTCCCATAAAAGCAACCAAAATGTTAGGAAGACACTTGCATTTCCAGAAGCAAAACTTGTTTCAGAATTTTCCTTATGTGCACCCATGTTTACAACTGTGTAATTTGTAATTGCTAAATCATGGAAGCAAATGCCCATCAGCTGAGGAATGGATTTAAAAAGCTGTGGTATTTTTACATAATGGAATGTGACTCAGGTATAAAGAAAGATAAACTTGAGGCTTTCATGGGTAAATGGATGCAACTAGAGACCATAATCATAAGCAAAATAAATCAGACCCTCATGTGTAAATACTATATTGTCTTTCGCTAGTGTAAGAATCTGAAAGAGTAAATAAAGTCTGAAAGGTATAATAGATATTGTGAAAGGGAAAGAAACTGCTCAAAAAGAAAGAATAACTGGGATGAGGGAAAGGAGAAAATGAAGGGGAAAAATATATATATACACACACATGATAGATAAGAGAATTGTGCTACTGACTTCTGTTTAATTACTGAAAGGAACAGTTAATGTTTAATTCTTTCATCAGTTTTACATGCCTATATTTGTTTAACTGAGTAACCAATTTGAAGATAACAATATGTAATACAACAACCATTGTTAATTCTCTATCACCTTGTCTGAAATTCTGTATTGCTTCTATTGTTTGGGTGTTGTTTATGTCTGTTTGTTTGCTAATGTGTTTTCATCCTTTTATCTTTAAAATTACCAAAAAAGAATTTCCATTAGTTGGAATTCATTCCAGCAAAAATAATCATCATGGAAGAGCTAGAGTTGTTGCTCAGTGGTAGAGTGCTTGATACATAGATACGTAGGTGAACTGTGGAAAATATTCTGCAAATACACTGCTAATGTTCCCCATTGACTATCCATGGATAGTGGAAATGCAGAAGATCATTTTGTTTTTGGAATTCAAGAATACTTTTCCTTTTTCTCTACTGTAAAATATAAGTAACATCTTCTTTTGGATATGTCTTGGTTACTTTTCTCTCGTTGCTGAGACAAAATACCCAACGCCCAAAATGAAGGAAGGAAAGGTTTATTTAGCTCACAGTTTGTGGAGGTTTCAGTCCATACTTGGCTGGCTCCGAGGCAGAAGATAGCAAAGCAACAAGAGCAAAGGGGGGAAATGGCAGCCGAACAGCAAAGCAGCCAGAGCAGAAAGGGAGGAATGGCTGCAAACAGCTTCTTTTTCCCTGCCTTACTTTGTAAACAGGCTACCCCCACCTAAGGGGCGTGTAGCTCTCACATAATCTTTGCCCTTCTCTTCCACAGGCTCAGGATGTATACAAAGTAAGCACCCTGGCTTCCTGCTGAGTCACTTAGCCAAACCTCTAGACTCCCCAAGTTGACACAATGTATCAACCATAACAGGATATTCAACTATGGAACCAATAGCTTGTGTAAAAATATAGAAATAGGGCTGACCCATTGCTCAACACTGAGTGCCTCATTCATTTCTTCTGATTCCTAGCACCCTTTATAGCATCAATCCATGTCCCCCAGTCCCCAATCCCCATATCAGTAAGACATCTCAAGACTCCAGGTTGGATCTGTGTCCCAAAACTCCTGTGCTATCCCTGTGCTACCTCCCTCTGCTCTCAACTCCCTGCCTCCATCTGCTCACCTACCTCCTCAAGTCCAATTTGACCCACACTCCCAGAGAGTGTTGTCCTCCCTCTTAGGTGTGGACAAGTAAGCAGGACACCTTAGAGGAAGCCCCTGCCTGCTCTCAGGGATCAATTCATATCCTTGATCTTGCTATGTATAGTTTATATTCAACCCTACTTCCCAAGAGAAATAAGGTGAGGCTTAGTGATTAAAAACATCATACCACAGTGATATATGCACACCCATGTTTACAGCAGCACAGTTTGTAATAGAAAAGTTTTGGAAACAACTCACATGCCCATCAACAGAGAAATGGATAAAAAGATGTGTTTTTTGTACAATGGAGCCATAATGAAGGAGAAATCTGAAACATTTCTGGGAAAATGGATGCACTTGAGACCATACACTTAAGTAAAATAAATCGGACACACACATGTAAATATCACATTCTTTCTCTGGTGTGACAAGCTGTACATGTAAATAAGGACCAAAGTGTATACTAGACATTGTGAAATAGGAAGAAATGATTCAAAAGAAAGGGGAACCAAAGAGGGGAGAGGGGAAAAGAATAAAGGGAAAAGAAAGCAGTGAGAAAAGAAAAATAAAATGGAAACAAAGCTTTTTAAATATGGAGGGGAAGAGGGGTTGAAAGGAGGGGAGGGGGTTGGGGAAAAAAAGAAGAATCAAGACACATCATATACAGGTACAAAATTCCTGTGTTGAATATTACCATTATGTTTATCCAAACTGTATCAATAAACTCTATAAAAATAAGTAGAAAGAACAGTGAAAATTTAATAAGGGGAAAGAAGAGTAATGTTTTATTGCAGGCTAAATTTGGAGACTCTTACAGCCCCAGGAAATTAAGCTGACCCTAAGCCATCTGCAAGACAAGAAGAGTTGGGCCTGGTTCCTCATGAGCTGATACAGACACTGAGTAATCTCAGCACTGCATCGAGGTCTTATATTAGAGGCACACATGATGGATTTGTCACTCTTCAAGAGGTTCCATCACCAGCCATATGAAGTCTAGGACTGTGGTCTGGTGGCGAGAACACTTACAAGAACAGAGACGCTTTCACCTCCTGCTGACTGCCCGAAGATGGTCACCAAGCCTGGGTTCCCTCCAAAGTTGGCAATGTTGTCCTGGACCCAGCGCAGTGCAGCCACCTGGTCCAAGTGACCCCAGTTCCCGGGGCTGTGTTCATCCCCTGTGCTGCAAGAGACAGAGAGAGGGAAGGGAATCAGAGCTATCACGATGATGCTCTTAGAACCGGAAGGATCTAAGGTCTCTCACTTAGTCTTTCAGAATGAGGTCTGGGTCCTGTGTGTCTGATACAGGGGCCTTCCTCTGCCTCTCCCTCCTACAGCAGTGTTCTACTGGGTGCTTTACACTCATTCTTCTAGCTACTATAGACTGACCACTGACTGTGTATCCAAGAGTGATCTAAGAGCTAGATTGCACTGGGAACAAAGCTGGCTATACTCAGCTTATACTATAGACTATGAACAAATGAAAAGAGAATATGCCATCAACTATTGAAAGTAAATCATCTAATTAATATATATATATAGTACTATTAATTTGTATTGCTTTCGTGAAAGGAACAGTTAATATTTAAAGATTTGATCATTCTTACATTTCTATATTTGTCTATCTGAGTAACCAATATAAAGATAACAGTATATAATACAACACTTGTTAATTTCTTTTCACCTAGTCTGAAATTCTGTATTGTTTTTATTGTTTCTATGTTATTTTATTTGTGTCTGTGTGTTTGTTAATATGTATTGGTTCTTTTATTTTTGAAAATAAAATTTAAAAAAAGGAGAAAGTAACTTGAGGAAAAAGAAAACCAGTTAAAGAAAGAAGCAGATGTGGGGCAGTGTGGTGATATTTCAGATCTCATGACTAGTGAAAGCTTCTCTGCTACATTAGCTTTTGGTAGTGATCAGAATGATTGAGCACATGGGTCTTTTGTTTAGGGTGTGAGTGAGGAGAAGTTGAGAAATAGTTGGATAAACATATTTTAAAATAGTTGGATAAACATATTTTAAAGTTGGAGCCAGGGGCTGGGGATTTAGCTCAGCGGCAAAAGTGCCTGCCTGGCAAGCACAAGGTCGTGAGTTCGGTTCCCGGTACCGGAGAAAAAAACAAAAAAAAAACAAAAAAGACTGTCTAAAGTTGGAGCCAAGGAGATTTGCTGGCCAAGTGGAAGTAGTGAAAGGAAAGGAAAGGAAAGGAAAGGAAAGGAAAGGAAAGGAAAGGAAAGGAAAGGAAAGGATGAGTCCTCCCTACCTACCAGGTCTTAATCCTGAGGAACAGGCAGGATAGAGCTACTAGTGGCTGCACTGTGGGCCTTGAGGAAAGAGAGGAAGAGTCATGGTTGGGTGAGAGGTAGTGGACATCACAGTATACATATACCGTATAGGACACCACACCTACAGATGTAAAATGGGAGGCATCTTGCAGACGTCCATGGGAGTGGGCGAAGATATCTACCTGGCATTAATAGATAGATGCTACAAGCAAGGAGCTGTAACGGTCCTCAGGGAGTTGGGGAGAAGGACAAGGAGACACAGAGGACTGAGGATAGGGCAGGAGTAGCAAAGTGGCTGAGAAGGAGCAGCCCAGGAGGTTATAGGTGGGCAGAACTAGAAGGAGGCCCTTCAGAGAGGCTGTCTGTGGCTGGTGCTGAGAAACCCCATGAGGTGGGCAGAGCTGTTGGGTCACTACTGGCCTCTGTGAGAAGGGCCTGGCAGCACAGTTGTTGAAAGTTGTTCTCAGCAAGCATGATCTGCACTCCCCCCCAGAGACCGCCTCTTCCTTGTTCCTCAGAAGATGTACAGCCCTTCATTGCTCTGCTAACTGCTCACTCCCATCAAAGAAGGAGACTTGTGGAAAAGAGGGTTCTTTCCCGAGTTTAGTGGGCACTGGCACATACCACAGGTGAAAAGGAAATGAGTATTTCAGAGGCAGTAACTTGAAGCCTCGGACTGTACAATGAATAGAAGTTTGGCAGGTAGATCAGGCATGCCAGGCAGATGGACTCAACCCATGTTAAAGCTCTGAGCCAAATGGACAAATGTGATTGATCAATGAAAATTTCACTGAGGTCCAATGACAAAAGGACTGGATGAATTATCAAGAGCTATAAGAAAGTGCTTTGATTGGAAGGTGTGGTAGCTACTGGGAAGTGGAAGGACATGAAAATAGTAGTTACCAGGTCTGCACATTCTCAGGGTAGAGTATAAGTCATGTGGGCCTCCAGCCACAAGAAGAAGAGTTCTGTTGCTGATGGAATACAGCACATCCAGAAAGCAAAAAGGAATCTAGACCTAATAACCAAAGTACAGCTGAATCACAGACAGCTGGGAAACAAAGTTCAATCTCTTGGGTTCCTAAAACCAAAAAAAGGAACAGCAGGACTACAGCAGGCTCACTAGCAGACATCACTGAACCATCTACTGATGGAGAGTTCTCTGAAGCAGAATTATAATGTTCTTCAGGGTCTGAGATCCAGGAGCCTATTCTAAGAATAACTAGGAGAAGGCAGATCATAATTGAACCCACACCAGTGTCCACTGTAAGAAAAAAGCAAAAGATAACTCAACTAAATGATTCTGTTGCTGAAGAAATTGTCTCTGAAGCAGAATTTCACGCTTTGGGTATTTCTAGAATTGTGCCTTCCACAGAAATGACAAGAACCAGAAGTAAGGCTAAACCTCTAACAGGTCAAAGCCAAGCATCACATGCAGAAGCTGTAACTGATGCTGACTCATCATGCTCTGACATTTCATTCCCTGGAGTTACACATAAGAGAACAACCACGATTATGCCAAGGAAATTCCAGGACAAGCTGATAATAAATATACTAACAATGAACCAGAAAATAAAAACTGAAGCACGAATATTTCTATGAAGTCAGAGTATTCATATACCAGACAGAGTTTGGATGAAGAGGAAATCAGAGTAATAAATAAGAGAAAGGAAAATGATAAAAGTTCTCAGTTGAAATGTCTTTCTAAACTTCAGATCAACCTTACATTTTTATGTCTAATGGACTGAGCAACTTGGTTGAAGATAACATCATGTAATTTAGCAACCACTGTAAATTTCTACCATTTTGTCTTGAGGTCATGTATCATTTTTTGTTGTTTTTGTGTTGTTTTGTTTTTGTCTTCATTGTTGTTTTGTCAATTTTTTAAATTTTTAAAATAAAAAAAAATTTCTGTAAAATTCAGGATGCTAGCCTTTAGCAGTTAGTCTCTCAAAAGCATTCAACCCCTCAAAATAATAAAGCCACATCTGAGTCCTCAAATCTGAATTGCGAGGCTGTAATGCAGTCATTAGCTCAAACATTTGCATTTGCAGCAGTGAATAGATGGAATGAAGGGAGAAAAAGCATCATAATGTAGGGGGCAATGAATCTTAGCATACTATTTTAGATAAAATAGTTTGGTAAAAGCCTGCATGGTGCCTTGGGAAGCCTCCCGGGACAGTGCAAGAGCTAATTCCCCAGATCAACACTGCCCAGGAATGTCTCCCCAAGATAAGGGGGCACCTAGGCCTAGGTGACACTCCATGACCCTGCCTGGGCAGTGCCATCTCCTGGCCCCAGGTAAACATTGTAACCCTAAAGGAATGCATAGGTTGTAAAAAAAGGAGATAATGGGAGGAAACATCTATCATGGTTAGACATGTGACCTGCAACTGACCTGGGGTCCAACAGGATGAGAGAAGCACCATATGCCCACCAGGGTCAGAGAATGTAACACCCCAATCTGTTGTCAATGGAAACCAAAATGTATATAAGGTGAAACAAAATTAGCCATTGCCCCCGCTTCCACATTGGCAAAGGAAGTGAGGGTGGCTAGCCTCAAATTAAACTCTGGTTTGTTCTCACTAGCGTCTCTTGCAGAATATTTGGGCAGGGGAATTTCTGCCATAACAATAAAAATAAATGACCTGACAAAGTGCAGTGGTCATGGTGGTGATGATGACAAAGAGTCCACAAGTAAAGTTGACAGTGAGGACAACAACAGAGAAAGAAGTGTAGATCTTGAAGGTGATACCAGACTAAACAAACCTGAGCTCAACCAGTCTCAGGGTATAGATGATTCTGTCTTACTAGTTCTCAGCAGTGGTGCAAGCTAGGAATCTGAAAGCAGTGAAAGTGAAGAGGACACTGGGTTTTGTTGAAAAGAGTGATCAAAAAGAATCGTTAAATGAAAACTCAGAAAATACATCTCATGACAATGCATACTTTGTAACTGACACAACTCCTGGATTGAATGCTGATGAAAAATGTTACTTGGAAGATAAGGCAAGTGAGGTGAGCACTGAGGAAGTAAAAGAAGAGGAAGAGGATGAAAACAGTGAAGAAGAACCATCAGACAGTGACAGAAATAAAGGTGAGCGTAGCAGTGAAGATGACTTACTAAATAACATAGAGTCTAAACTTCTGAAATTGTCAGGTAGTAGTATAGCTCTGGTCTGAGTATCAAGGAATTGGGTGGCATGTATATTGAATTCAATGCAGAAAAACTTTAGTCAAAAAAGAGAACTCTAACACAGATCAAGGAGAAACAGGAAAATGAACCTCTACAGAAAGCTGTTATTGCACCTGATTTTGAAAAAAAATATTATATCCCACCATATAGTGAATCAAAGGGTCAACTTCAGAAAAAATGAAGGAAACAGGGACAAAAGACTGCAGGTGATGGTTGGTTTAGTATGACAGCTCCAGAATTGACCGACGAACTTAAAAATTATTTCAAAGCTCTGAAGATGAGAGCAAGTATGGACCCAAAAAGGTTTTACAAGAAAAATGACCGAGATGGCTTCCCTAAGTACTTCCAGATTGGAACTATTGTTGACAATATAGCTGATTTCTACCATTCATGAATTTCCAAGAAGCAAAGGAAAAGGACTATTGTGAAAGAACTGCTGGCTGATTCTCAGTTCAGAAGATATAACTGAAGGAAGTGCTCAGAGATCATGTCTGAAAAAGCAGCAAATGCAGCAGGAAAAACTTCAGAAATAAGAAGAAATTTCACAATTAATATTCACCAAGCAAATTCCAGTATTTTATATCATCCTTTTATTCATTTGTAAAAGATATTTTAAATACTAATACCATCACACAATTTAATAGAGACTGGCTCTGTTTATACAGGGATTTCTGTTTGAAAATAAAGTTGATTGACAAGGGAAAAAAAAGAAAGTGCTTTCAACAATGGCATGACTATGGCTGGGATCTCATAATTTTTCTGTGGCAACTACTATGGTTTGGTTTGCATATGGTCCCCATCCAAGGTTTCATGTTCTGAATCTTTGATCCCTAATGCACCAATAGCCTAGATCACTGGGGCTGCTGAGCTTAGAAGAGTTTAATACATATCCCATGATATGCTGGTTAGTTCTGAAAAGAATGAGCTGCTCACAAAGACCAGGCCTGCCCCTGACTCCTCCTGCTAGGCTCCTTGACTTCTCCTGTGACATATTCTGTTTGCTGAATAGTTCCTTTCTGATCTCAGCCATGCTGTGACACAGCCGTGGTGCTGTCACCAGAGACAAATTCAGTGAAACCCTTGATGTTGGAATGAAATAAGTAAATAAGTAAATTTATTTCTCCAAAGTAATCAGGTATTTGTCATACCAACAGGAAATACACCAACACAGAAGCTAATGTGTGCAAAGAAGAGCACAATATCTCACCTGAAGAACCCCCAGATTCCCAGACGGTACTGAATGGTCACCACCACCACATTCTCAAGGGCAGAGAGAGCCAGTCCATCATAGAGTGGAGCCCCACCAAAAACCAGGCCACCTCCATGGATCCACACCAGCACCTGGACAAGGACACATCCACACTGCTTACTGGGAGCAGAATTGGGAAGGCTCTCAGACGTTGTTTGGTTTCATTCTCTGGTCCCAACGCTGACTCAGGGTGCACATTGTCCAAAGTTCACAGTGTCCAGCTAGTTTACAAATGACAGCTTTTCTCCCCTCTAACTCTCCCACTTGCATTCGAAGACAATACCCTACTCAGTATGCCCTGGTGTCTCATTTTTTTTCCCAAGACATTATTTGTTAAAGCCTCCTAAGACTGTCCAAACTGAGAATATCACCATGGGAGCAGCACAGGCCCTTCACTATCAGGACGTCTCCATCACTGCATCATGCTTATGCATGATCATTCATGCAGATGACATGATCATGGGTAGAACTAGTATTTCAGCTTCACCTCCTTTACTTTTTATTGGAGGAATTAAATTTGTGTGTAGGAATGGTTCTCTCAAGATGCACATGCCCTGGACAGTGACCTCTCCTTACATAACTTCCCTCTGCCTCCTCTACAGCCAAATCTTACTACATTCCTGAGGCCATCACACATCTACCTGCTTTATGAAATCTTCAGTGATTTAAATAACTATCAGAGAGCCTACTATGTGTGAGGGACTGTGATAAGAGTTGAAGAGCGAAGGAGATGCAAGAGTTCATTATCATAGTTGTATTTCAAGAGTTCACATTAAAGGATGGGCTGAGAGAGGATAAAATAATGGCCATGTTGTAATAATTTCTCTAATGAAATAAACCACTAATAAAAATATCTATATAACTATTCTAATCACCACTAAACAAACCATTTATGAGGCAAACACTAAGAATTTCTAATATAACAGATAGGAAACCTGAGACATCTGCACACAGTGCCACAGCTAACAATGGCAGTGACTGAACTTCACCATGCAGTATGGGGCTGCCCATTGACTGCAACCAGTGGTCACATCATAGAAAGTCAGTTCTTACTTGCATTCATTGGTGCTGGTTTAGGAACATGCACAGGTTGCCAATAAAGCAATTCAATACTCAGAGGTGTTATTCTATTTGAAGAAAAAAAGGTTCAGAGAAATTAAGAAGTTGCTCAAAGCTATATGCCAGTCACAGGAGTATCCTATAGTTCTAGCTTGTGTTCATAGCTGGAGAGCCTCCTGCTTTCTATCACCATTTCTTCTTGATGTCTGATTCCAGCAATCTCCAAGGCAGGAGTGGAGTTGAGATCACCAGTGAGTGGAGGCTGGGCCCTAGAGCTGATCAGTAATGATACACTGAGAGGTTAGCAACGGTTTATGAAGCTGAGAAAGTAAGATCCTTGAAGGCAGGATCCACATGCTTAGTGTGGGTATTGTTCCATGTTTCTCCTTTTCCTATCCTCACATAAAACTGAATACAAAAGAGAAAACAGAGTGAGTGAATGAGTAAGTGAATGAATGAATGAATGCAGGAAATTTTGTTCCCACTTCCTTGTGTCTTACAAAGCACATACAGGGCCAGCTTCCAGTCCTAAGGTCACAAACTCCTACACTATTCTTAGAACCTATGACAGGCTGTTTTTGGAAAGTGTGTCCTGTCTTCCAGCATGCTTTCCCTGCTCTGTGGTTTTTTGTTTTTTGGTTTTTTTTATTTTTTTTTTTATTTTAAAGATAAAAGGAGGGAAACATTAACAGACATACAACATTTTACAACATATCACAAGCACAATACAGACAATACAGAGTTACAAACAAAGTGGTAGGGAATTAACAATGGTGGTTGTATTGCAGCCTACCTCACCTTTAACTCCTCATTTGTTTAGGAAATGCTGACTCACTGGAACATCAGCCAGTGCCAAAGGCAATAACGGAGCTATGATAAAATCTCTGATTGTTTGGCCAAAGACACGAAAGTGCTTCTGAGATTGTCCCAGGGTTGCTCACCAACACCTCTACCACATGAGAGTGAAGGTTCTCACTGCACTTTCAGGATAGTGAAAATTATCATAGGTGGTGTGTGTAGAAACCCAGCCCATGTGATTCATTTCCTAGCCCATGCCACAGAGCACTGGTTTGAATGTCAGAAGACCAAAGGTCTTGCTGTTTTCCCTACTATGTGACTGCCCTTCTTCCATCTGTGCCTCAGTTTCCTTATATGTAAACACAGTTGGGTTTGTTCAATTTTCTCAAATATTCCTTGTAGCAAAAGTTTTCTTGAAAATTAAATCTTAGCTGTATAGGATTAGTAAGTTACTAGCCACACCAGTAACTAAGCAATTATTTTTTGTCCTTTTCTTACTGGAGAAACTTGGAAAATCTAAGGCATATATTCCACATGGATAAAATTCTCCCCCAAAGGTCTAACATAATTAAGAGAACCAGGGAAAGGACAATCACATTTCCTGGGAAGAAAGGAAGCTCTGGGCCCCTGAATCTGTGCTGGCCTATGGTGCTCCTGCTCCAAGATGCCTTCATCACCATCCCATATATAGTGGAAAATCCAGATGCTGGAACTCACCAGTCTCACAAGTGGTCCCCAGGCTTACCGGCAGCCTACTTTCCCTGGTTGAGTCAGCAGGAGTGTAAATATTCAGGTACAGACAGTCTTCAGAAAACGTAAGAGTAATAGTCTTTCTGGTGTTCACGAGGTCTGAAGTTTTCTGCCCTGTTACTGGATCTTGGGAACACCTAACAAGAAAGAATACAACTTTCAATCAGATGGAAACTCCAAGTGTCACCTGCATCCTGACATTGCACTAGGAGGTTTCAGCCTATAAATGGAAATGCCATTTCTGGAATGGAGGAATTACATTGAGTAAGAAACTTTATAGAGGCCTTGATGGGAATCCTGGGAATTTTGGAACTCTCCTAGACCATGTAAAGTGAGAAGGACATAGTGCTTTCCACTCAGAGCCCTGGAGAGTCTCTTGTTCATGGACACAAGGCTACCCATGCACTGACTGACCCTTTGCAATGACACTTCCTGCACCCCCAGGACAGCCCCACTCTGCTGAATTTCCAGGTAATTATGGTCCTCCACCAGGTAGCCATGGTCCTCCACCAGGTAACCAAGTTCTAGTCCTTCGTAGACTTCCACCACCTGGTAAAACTTTCCAAATAGCAAACGTTCACACTGAGCAACCATTTTTGAAGACAGTCTCTGGAGAACTGCATTTCATTTTGCCTCAAGGCATCTGGTGTGCTAGCTGACCTTGAATGAATTTCTTTCTGCTTTGGTCCCCAGTCTTCCAGAGCCAAGTTAAGTGAGTGCTTTCTCTAAGGGTCTTACACACCCACTGTGCTAAGATTCATCAACTTGTCTGCTGCCCTGATAAGAGGTCTCAAAATCTAGCACAAGTTCAGAGTGGTAACAAGTATTGAATTGTCCCTATGTGCCAGGCTCCGATGTAAGTTCTTATGAACTAACTCATATAAGACACAGATCTTCCCTAGCCATTAACTCTGTTATTGTCACCATTGTACAGGCAAGAAAACTGACGAACAAAGACCTTAGAGAACTCTCCAAGGTCACACACACAGGAAGATTCTTGCTATTTTGTGCTCTTATTTTCAAGTCCATTTAAGGAGTATTTTAAGATCTTGATAGACATGGCAGATAGCCATTTTCTGAGGTGCTCTGGGGCTGGTTGTGAGGCCAACTGGAAATGATAGCAATCTTTTTCTCAGCTAACCAAGGTGACTGGAGCATAATAATGTAGACATTCCTATGAGTCAGAAATTCCAAAGTTAACCCCAAGTCATACCCTACACCCACATCTTTCCCTTATTGAACACTCTCTCAGCCATACCAAGTCTTAAGATGGGAGAATAGACATCATCATTACCTGTTCTCTTCCTCGCTGTCCAACTACTTATTTCCAGAACTCCACATAATCTCATGTAGTACCTAATTCATTTATTAATTTGCATATTATTTATTACCTCTCTCCTGCTGCTATGTGTAAGCTCTGTGAAAGGAGGATTTTTGTGTTGTTCACTAATAGTTTCTCAGATTCTAGATCATTCTGGAATATGACAAGTATTAATGATTAAGAGCACCACGACATGGGGAAATTAGGGAAATGTTTCCAAGATTCTACAGTGCTCTAGAGAATTCTAGAACAAAACATAAGCCAATCCTTGGATGCTCTGACTCCTCCTACATTCCTCTAAGACAAATATCCCCCATGAAAGAGGCCAAAACAAAGGCCACTGGCTTACATAGGAGAGTAAGATGTGGTGTTCTTGACATAGCTCCATGGCTCCGGGGGCTGTGGAGGAGCAAACCGCAAGGATCCAAGAGGCGGTCTGGCAAAAGGGACTCCCAGGAAAACAGCCACAGGCTGTGCAAATCCTTCCAGGTTGTCATACTTCCCCAGCACTTTGCCATACACGGTGTCCACCACAGGTGGTGAGGATGGGTGTCCTGCTGGACATAGAGAGGAAAGAGGACACATCAGAAGGGTGAGGTCAGAGCTTGATTGTAGTTAAGTTTTGCCTGTTTCTAGGCACATAAGCTTGAATAAGTCTCCCAAACCCACTAGGACTCAGTTTCTTTTCAAGTAAAATGAGGATAAGAAAAACTCTTTCCTAACCCAAAAGACTATGTAGAGATGAAAATTGGGACAGATAATATAAAAACACCCAGGCAGAAGTCTCTACATAAAGGAGAGCTGCTGGGAATGACCACAACACATAGTCTTTGCCTTGGAAGCATGTATTCATTAGAATCCTGGTGCTGCACTGCATGGTGGATGAGAGGATGCACATGAGGTGGTCTCTTTTTTCAGGACAGCTGAACTTGTAGTCAAAAGGAGCCACAGACAAATTACAAACACTGGGAAGAAAAGGATTGTGTCCTTGTGGAGTGATCAGAAAGGTGCTATAGGAGTTGGAATAATGAATGAGGCATTCATGGGTACGGAGGAGCTGGGATTTGCAGCCAAGGACTAGTGAATAACACAATATAGTGTGGGAATGTGTAAAAGGGAGAGGAGAGAAGGTGCAGAGCCACAGAGACAGCAATATACAGGGCCTGGCTGGGAAGCAGGAAGCAGCATATGAATATCACCAGACGAAGTCTATGCGGAGAGGAAGAGAATCCTGGATTGAGCAGGTGTGTGTTAAGACAGGCCTTGAAAGACAGACTAAAGAATCGGGTTTACCTAGTGGACAAACTTCTTCTGGTGTCCTGAGCAGGTCTTTCTACAGGTGAGGGAAACAGGATATTTTACTAAGGGAAAATCTCTTATTTCTTTCTTTTGTTCCTGTTCCTAAGTATCAGCAATCACATCAAGATGCACTTCCTGGGAAGCAAATAATTGAGATGTTCATAGGCAGTGGTATTGCAGGGTTCTTTATTTCTTTATGATTCCCAAGGCTTCTGCAACACTCATAGATGCTGCTTTCTTTCTTTCTTTCTTTCTTTCTTTCTTTCTTTTGACATGGTCTCGCTATGTAATTTATACTGGTCTTGAACTCATAGCTATCCTCCTGCCTTATCCTTTTTTAAACTTAGGAGAAAAGTATTAGGAAGGAAATTAGCAATGGTTTTCTTTATACTGCATTGCTGTTTTTTCTTGCCGGTACCGAGAATCGAACTCTCTACCTTGCCCTTACCAGGCAGGCGCTGTGCTGCTGAGCTAAATCCCCAGCCCAAATATTAGGAAGGGAAAGGGAGATGTGCAGGAGGAATTCTGAAGGAGGATTTGATCCTTGAGAGGATGTGGATTCCTCAAAAAAAAGGAGGAGAAAGAAGAGGTTTAGTCTCCATCTGTTACATAGGTTTAAAAACAGTGTCAGTCAGAATCCTGCTAAGATGCTATAGGATAAGGATGTCAACACTGTAAAGAGGTAGGTGAGGGGCAGGTACATAATCCAGCTGAAGATGAGAATGCCCATCATGTATATGTGTCTCACTGAAGACCTGGGCAAGAGAAGAGGATGATCTGAGATTAATGCATAGAGATAGCTGCAGTTGAACCTGAGATCATCTACCAGAATAATATCCAGAGAAGGGCACAGAAGCAGGGCAACCCAGAAGGAAGAGGAGATGGGGCTGGCAGGGGTGTAGAGTGCTTCAAAGAAGTGAAGGATGATAAAGCAGGAATTTCACGCTGTGGTCTGTATTAGCTCTATGATAAGTCTGCAGCTTAATAAAGTGGGCTGAAGCCAGATTGCCCAGGGTGAAAATGTGGATGCTTGGAAGGTTTAAACAAGAATGAAAACAGTAGTCACCACTAGGTTATAAAGATTTTACACTTTGTCACAGGCACACACCCTTGTTCTTAAAGTTGATTCTCAAAAAAATCTTTGCTAGATTAGCATGAACATGGTCATGTTACAGATGAAGGAAGTGTAAATTGGACACAGCCTGTATGGACATCCTTAAGATGGAAATGAATAGCGATGCCAGGGTAACAGGATGTAAAGAATGGTTCTGCTCCAATTTAAGTTTCTTTCTCTACTTTTTCCTGCATTCCAGGTCTCTCATGGTTTACACAGCCAGGGAGAAGATAAAATACTACTGATGTCAGTGATCTCATAAGACAGTTCTCTTTAATTGGCAAAATTTCGTACTTGGAGCAGCCTAAACTGACTCCCAAGGTCCTGCTCAGGTCTTGCATTTGCTTCACTATCCCCTTGCTTTGTTTGAACACCAAATAAATACAGGCTGCCCTGAGAAGTTCTTTCTCCCAGCCCATAAGGAATCATGAATTCTGTTAGAGGGTTTTGACCTTCCTGGAGTCCTGAAATCAAACCACTTGTCTCTTTCATTTAAACTGTTCACCATCCACTCATGCAGGAGGCTACAGGCTTCATCAGACCAAGATAAAGGACCTTCCAGAAGGGTTCAGAATTAATAATCTATTTCCTCCACATTCCAAACTGCTGAGATGGGGACTACTGACATCTTTACATTAAAGATGGGTCAAAAAATAGGTGACTCAGGCACAACACAGTTCACTATCTTATTTAAGGACACATACCTTATAAATACTAAGAATCTTTAACTGAGAAAGACATGTATGGACTAAGAATGAAAACTGAGCTCTCTTCATCTTCACGTGTGAGATGTGCGGTTAGTTCATTGAACTTCTGCACGGCTGTGCACTCTGGAAGCCCTGGGTGCTTATCCTCCCCCTGTCTCATTATGTCCAGACCAGACTCAGTGGTCTGAGTGCTACAAGTCTATTTCAGAGTGAACGCCCCTTAGGATGGACCTGTCATGCCATTTACTTATAGCATCTCCACCCATGTCTGTTCAAAACTTGGATTCCTAAATGTGCCCCCGGATCCCAGGTGTTTTTATTTTCAAAATACTCACCCCAAGCCGTGCAAGCAACAAGAGATGCCAAAAGCAGACAGTAGAGCCTCATCATGGAAGGACAACAGCTTGACAGCCCAGAAAGTCTCTGTCCCAATCCAAGTGGATGCACTGCTCCTCCCCCAGCACTGAACAGGCTCCTGGGAGTCCCGCACAGCCAGCCCATTTGTGGAATCTGAGCCAGTAGAAAAGACTTTCGTCCTATAAAGCTCTCCCTAGGCTTTCCTTGGGACGCTCATGCTCCACCTATCCAGAGTTTGCCCTATTTTATCTGAACAGCTCCCCATACAGAGTTTAGCTAATCTTTTACTTGAACAGTCTGAGCTCTACACTTAGATTGCAAATTGCGGCAATCTAGTCCAACAACTTCTTACATAAGAGTTTCCTCCTAGTATGACTCATGTCTCAGTGCACCCTGAGCCTCTCAAATGTGAATCAACAACAGAAAACAAAGCACCAGTAGAAAAGGACTTAAGGTACAGTGAAATTTTGGTCTGGGGTCCACCCTAAACTTGAAAAATCCATTCTAGAGCATCTCGCAGTCCCAGAGGTACTCAGCTGGGAGATTAGCACATGTCTCTTAGAATCACTGGGAGAGTATCACATAGATTTCTAGATTTTCAAGTTTGGAAGAAATCTTAAATTTTAATTAGTCCCCTCTCCAATATATAAATTAGCTTTGCAATATTTCTTCCAAGTAATGTAGCCTTGCACCACATCCTTGGATCTGATCACTCATCCATGCATTTATTTATTCATCTCTTAAGCACTTACAGAATAGTACTGTGCATACAGAGATGACTTCAATACTTGGTCCTTCCTCTTAAGGAGTTCTTTAGGTATGTGACAGGACAAGAGGGGAGGCATTGCAATGTGAGATCACCAAAGGAGGGGCATGCAGAGTACACTGGGTGCAACTGGGAAAGTCTTCTTTGTAAACTGCCAGCAACACAAAAAGATGCTCAAATCCTCATTCATAGAATCATCAAATGCCCCACCATGCAAAATTTCAATATCATCTGGTAGAGCAGGCTAAGCAAGGATTATGCATTCACTCATAGTGGTGATGTATGTCAAAAGACATTCACAATCTACTGTGAAGGGGAAAGCATGATATAAAAACTGTTATGGTTCCTTGGGTAGACAGTTTTTCATTAAAGAAAATACTCCCATATGGACCAACAGTTCTAGTCCTAGGTGTATAACTAAGAGACTAAAAACACTTGACATATGGAAATGTGTGCTGCATAGCAGTACTATTCATAATAGACAAAAATGGAAACAGCTCAATTATGCATCACCATGAATGAACAATAAAAGGCATACTTTGTGTACATCAGAACTTCATTAAGCCAAGAGAATAACACAGTTCAGCGCTAGTGAAACTTGAAAACCTTATGCTAAATGAAAGAAGCCAGGTACGGAAGGCCATAGAATATATGGTTCCATTTACATAAAATGTTCAGAAGAGTCAATGCAAGACAGAAGAAAACATAGCTTTGTGCCTGCTAGGAGACACAAACAGGGGACGGTAAGGGCAATGACAAACGACTGCTTATGGGTACACAGCTTCTTTTTGGACTGATAAGAATGTTCTGCGATTAGAGAGTGGTGATGTCTGAGATCTTTTTGAATATACTATAAAATCTTGAATGTTAACTTTTAACAAGTAAATTTGTTATGTAGGAATGATCAATTACACTTACAAAATAATTAATAACTTTTAAAATGAAGTGCTTTTAAGTCAGTCTGTATATGGGATCCCATTTTAGTAATAAAATAAATCTATTTGCATAGAAAAAATTCTGAATGATTTACATCTTAGTAGTGCAATAACTATCTCTCCCATCTAATATTATATTTTTACTTTTATGCATTGTGCACTTTTATCCATTTGTACATTTATCTGATAAATTATTGAGAGCTTAGTGGGTGGCAAAACCTGTTCAGAGTTTACTGTGTGCAGGACCTCAGTGGTCAGGACAATCTGAGGAGATAAATACTAGTGCTCCCTGAGACTTAGTGCAGTATGAAAATGAGCTGAGGCCTGGACAAATCCTGTGTGATCACACAACCCAAATCATACCATAACCATTCTGCTGTTGTGTCAAATATTTTGACAGCCGACATTGTGAGTATGCCACGAATACTTCATTGGCCTGTGGAAGATCTGGCAGGGCCTTCCTTCTTGGAGATGCTTACAGTTCCGCTCTTTAAAGTGACTACCGCTTCCTGATGATCCCTCCTGAACCTTCCAGGCAGCCAGGAGGAATGAGTAGTGGTTGTTATGTGCAGCTATTCCGAGGGGCACAAGTGGTTGGAGGCAGGAGCATAGGGTCCTCGGGAGAGGCAGTAGCCTGGGGGCAGAAGCACTTGCTGACCTTTCACACTTCTCGTCCTCCTTCTCGTGTAGACTTCTTTCTGCAAAAAGATCCTTACACATTTAGCTGGGGTCATGAGGTTTGTTATTGCCAGTAGAGGAGCAACATAAGTCAGTTGTCTCAAGGCCAGCACAGTAAGGAGGCAGCTGTCCCTTTTCCTGGAATATTAGCGATTCCTACTATATAACGATTCTGAGGCTGTAAAGGGATAAAGAAGTCATGAGGAGGCAAGAGTCTTAGTCCCTTATCTGTCCTTGGACCAGAGCTGCTCTCTGATTTACAACAGGGTTTTGAACATTAACAGAGCAATACATAAATTACTGTCATGCATGAGCTATCACACAGGTTGTGGAGACAACCTTGAGTATACAGGCAAATTTCAAAAATGCAGTCATTTCCACTGTGAACTTTGTCAGTGTGGTTCCTATGCCTTCCCCTCAGCAAGTATACACGAATTCACAGACAGAGACCCTTGTATAGAATTCAGAACCAGAATTGTATAGCAGAAGCTGTCATTGGTTGGATTTCTCCACAGGCTGTACAAGCCCAGTGATTTGATGGCTTCCCACTGCCAGGAGCTCCACTTTACAGAAAGGATTTCTGTGAAGTGAACAAAAGCCCGGCTATACATAGCAAGCTGCAATTTGGGGGATTTCAAATCTTCCTATCCCCTAGAGTTCCCTCAATCAAGGATCAACTGAAAAATCAGAAGGAAGGCTCCAGTAGTCTGATGAACTTCAAGTTGGTAAGATGCCAAAAGAAAGACCAGATCTCCCATAGACTAACCAAAGTGTGCCTTTACCACAGCAAAAATACTCCCAAAGTAATTATCTCCCTAAAGTATACGGTGAACCAACTGAAACACAGATTCTTTCCCACTTTACTCCCTGTATGTTCTACTCCTCTCTATAGGGAACTCACTATGTAATACATCTTAATAGGTTACATTTCCTTCTGCACCTCACATTCCTTCCTTCCATTATTATTTCTTGCATCAACCAGAATAAATTTCTTGCTCCTGAATCTTTGTCTTGGTCTACTGCAGAAGAATCTCAATTAAGGCAAAAGATCCTCAGTTCCTTAGTCAAACAATGCACATACTATGGCATAGGATGGATTGTGTATCACTAGAATTTATACATTCAAGCTCTATCAGTACCTAAGAATGGGAATACACTTTGAAATAAGCTTTTTAAAATCATTTACAGCAAAAGAAAGCCATTCGGGTATGTTCTCATAAGCAGCAGAAATCTGGACCTACAGAGAGGCACCAGGGGGATGTATGCAGAGACTGCACATCATATAAAGACTAGAACAGGATAACCTTCTGTAAGCCAGGAAAGAATAACTAAGAGATAAGCAATCTTCTGACAGCTTGATCTGGACTGTCAGCTCCTAGAAATGACAGAAAAATTTTTCCTACACTTTAAGCCATGCAGTCTGTGATACACTGTTAAAACAGCAAAGATAGAGACATCAATACACTCAAACAAAAGCTCTTCCTCTCACTCAGAAAACATGAGGGACTAGAAATAATGGGCATTTCCTAAGATCACACAGCACTTGAACATCAAAGTCAGGACAAGAACTTGAAGCTTTAAGCTTCTACCCCATGGTGACTGGGAGCCACTTCTCTTGATTAATACTCAAGAGGTGTTGTAACAATTAGTCTTACCTCAAAGCATAGTGTCTTGATATCTTTCAAATTATGTTGTCATCTCATAGGCCCAGGATGCAGGACTGAGGGCTGAAGGTTTAGGAATAGCCACAGGCAGAGGCAGCTACCTAGGGAGGTATACTGTGTTTTTCATAGTCTATAGCAAGCCTGTGCATGTCCAAAGTCAGATCATTATTGACTAAGATCAGCTGAGAAGCACAGGCATAAACCATATGGAAATCCAAAGAAGCTCATGAGTTTTTGCCCAAGACCAACATATATTTGGGCTAAAATTAAGCTTCTGGAGAATGAAATTCAGCAAAGCGTGCTCATTTGCAGTCAGCCACTATGATAGCCTGTGGGCCCCTGTGATGAGGCAAGGACTTTAGGACCACATATAAACATGTTCCCAGAAAATATCCATTCTAACAGAGAGTGTCTTGGACTGCAGTGTGCCCCAGATTAGTTTAATTTTATCCAAGAAGGAAAAATGCATAATAAGGAAAACCCCAGTGAAAGCTTTCATGTTTCTGTCCATAACAGATGATTTGAGTGGTCATCTGCCTGACAAGATAATAAGGCTGTTTTCAACTACTTAGTGTACCATGTGCATAAACACACACACACACACACACACACACACACACACACACACACCTGTTAATCATCCTGCTTTTTGGCCTAGTCAGGTGGCTTCTGCAACCTGATAAACAACCCAGCCTCTTGTCTTTTGACGATTGTGCTCTGCTTTCTTAGAAAAACATAAAAAGAAAGTAATGAATTATTCTCCAAAATCACTATTCAGTCATACACCCACTTGTGACTCCAGCCAGTTCTGCGAATGGAAGTGGTTGTTTCTTGGCAGCACTTGGATATACTTGTAACCCTGTTCCTGGCTCTGATGGATCTCCAGAAAGGATGGGTGAAGCTGGAGTCTACCATGCCTCCCACTAGATATATTGATTGATTAGTGAGTCTAATGCCCCTGTGTCACTTTATCTACAGTTGAAACTACCTATCATTTTTGTTTAAGGAGCAGTTGATTGGGATTATTATTTTCTGTAGGGGAATCCTCCAAGTTTTCCCATTTGGATCATTATTTCAGAAGGAATGGGCAGATTTTTGGTAAATCTTGTCGGTTGTGACAGGGTCAAAGAAGTGACAGAAAATAGAGGTGAGAATTCTGCTGTATTTTGAAATCCTTTCGCAGAGATCTTCCAAATATATAACAATGATCCAGGAGGAGAGGAGAACTTTAAAATTATGCATTTCATAATG